CGGAAAAACTATCCTGCCGTATATAAAGGGTACGACAGACAAAATCAGCAGAGTGCTATGAAAAAACAAAACAGAAACTATTTTTAACACCGACAAAAAAATCGCAACCATATTACCATCGGCAAAAACAAAAGTTGCATTGGAAAATCAAGGTGTATACAGAATCCCGTGTGAGGACTGCTATAAATCGTACATCGGACAGACAAATCGAAGGATACAAGTTAGACGTGAAGAACATCGAAACGCCATCGAAATAAAAGAGAAAACTTCGTCTCTAGCACAACAACATGCCATACACACAGGACACAAAATAAACTTAAATGGAACAACAATGCTAGGCAACATCGAAAATAAGGCCAAACGTGTAATCAGGGAAGCCATAGAGATCGAAAAACATCCGAAAAATTTAAATACCAGAGATGATGCCCAAAGACTCCCAAATACGTGGAAACCAATTCTACAGAAAAAAGTAGAAATTAAAATAGCTAAGAAGATCCCGCCAACTCTGCGCACAGGACCAATTACAAGAAGTGCTACAAGGTATATAAACTCAACGTGCAGCGACCGAGAAATCAGTTCTCCTGAAACATCAAGATGAAGCAGAACTAATCTGACTTGACAATGGCAAGTGTGAAACGTCGTCAACTGAAATCACATATAGCTCCAGCGGAAATTTCAAATCCAATATATATATATATATATATATATATATATATATATATATATATATATATATATATATATATATATATATATATATATATATATATATATATATATATATATATATATATATATATATACATATATATACATATATACATATATACATATATACATATATATGTATAGAAAATAATATTGGTTTGCTTTTAATATATTTCAAAGTACAAAATATAATAATTAAAAAATTCAACTAATAACCTATAAAAGATATTTCGAAGAAATGAAAGTAAATTATCCTGGATTACCTGTAGTAAACAAAATTTAATGATATGCATAAATTATTTTCTTTGTAAAATATATTCGAGTGACGTGAGTGAGCTTAGTGAAATCGTGAACAATGCGAGCGGGTTTTTTAAATAGACTTGTACGTCGATATACAGTGAATAAGACAATAGAATAGAAATATTTAGAAAATATAATTCTCCGTTAGTTCTTAAGAATTTGTAGAAACCGATTAGCATGTTAATAGTTTTTAGGAAATTTGTAATTGTAGGTAAAATTGTTGTTTGTTATCTAAATGGCAGATTGGGATAAGTGTGACGAACTTTGATTGGAGGAGATTGAAAGAAGTGGGATAGGTATGTAGAAATTAGAGTTTAGCTAGATTTTTGAGGGAAAAAAGATAATCAGTTGTTTTTCCAGGGGTGCAAGGCGAACAGTCGTTTTCCTCTGGTAGTTTCCCAGAGGTAGTAAGCAGTAGAAGTAAATGTTTGTGAGTTTTCGCGGAGTAAAAATGAGGCTAGCGTCATTTAGGAGATTAAAGACGATAGGCTCGCAATAATTTGTTGTAAGATTGCTGATTACTTAGGGGACTGCTAAGAATAGATAGTGTAGGCTACAAGGAACAAGGATTTGGACAACTCATCATTAGAGAGATAGTTTTACTATTTGTCAGTTTTTATTTAATAACAACACATTTTTTTACAATTGCTTTAAAAAAGATAGGAATATTTTGATCAGGAGATTTAGAATTTTGATTATTTGAGTTTTAGAGTTTGAGAATTATGAATTATATAAAATATTTTTTATTGGAGATATTTGAGTGTGAATTTTATTTCAATATATAATGTTGTATCATTTATGTTTTTTAATATTCCGGTATTATTTGGAACTTACCTATCATATATAAAGCATAGATATTGAAGCACGAGTATAAACCTGAGATAAGAAAATAAATAAAGAAAAGAAATGTGAACGGAGAGATGCAACACCACCTAAGCTACGAAGACGATATATTCCTGATTGCAAAGGATTTGGGACAAACAAAGAAAATGTTGGAAGAACTTAAGTACAGCCTGTCATAAAATAGGTTTTAAAATTAATACAACAAAAACAAAATATATGACGAACTTAGTATCAAGTAAACACCTTGAAATACAAAATGAAGAAATAGAACTGGTAGACAAATATATATATATATATATATATATATATATATATAAACCAAGTTAGACTCTGGGTAAAAACAGCTGAAAGGATAGGCTAAGTGTACTCTTTAGTCCTTTATTGATCCAATATTTCGTTGATAGTTATCAACATCATCAGGGATAAGCTACAATTAGTTTACATGAAAATTGACAATCTGTTATAAATACGTTGATCTTACTTACGATTTTGAGAATGGTGCCGTAAAAGCTGGTCAAATTTATAAAATTTTGTGAAAAAAAATTGTATAAGTTTTTTTCTCACAAAAGAAAAATAGAAAAAACATGTAATGTTAACATTCACTAAGACTGGTACAAAGACAATGCACAATTTCAACTAATTGTGTGTAGGACCGAATGTCCTCTCTCGAGAGTTTTACATCTTATAAATTCTTATTTCTTATTAAACTGTACAGAGTGTCATGTGAAGTGAAACAACGTGGGTGATTGTAGGTTGGAAGACACTAACCTCTAAAATCTTCTTCTCTCTTAGATGGTCAAAGTAGAGGGGAGACTTTAGTGGCCCTTGTCTTATTGGTTGTCTGTACCTGTATTAGAATAGAATCTAAGGTAGGAGATATTTTAAGTAAAATTTTAAATTGTTAACATGATCATGGTAACAAGAGTGTAATAAATAGATTTTGGTTGATTCCAAGACCTTGTTATTTTGTAAAGGTTGAAGATTAATAAAGTACTGTTATATTTAAGTTTTGATATGAATTGTTAATTATTGTAAATTGATAAAGTGCTATATGATTTTTTTTACTTTAAGAGTCTATTGTTAAACTATGTCTATCACAACTTAATCAGCTGTGATTAACACCTGTTGAGAAGAATGGAGTGATTAATGATAGGGGCTACTCAGCGAGACAGGATTTGAAACGAAGATCTACGAGCTAAGACCAAAGTCATAGACGTCATTAAAAGAAGCTGTAACTTAAAATGGAAATGGGCTGGACAAGTTGCCAGAATGAAGGAGGGAAGATGGACTCGCAAGCTAGTTGAATAAAGATCAAGAGCCGATAAACGTAGCATAGAAAGACCACCAACACGATGGCAAGACAACTTACGAAAGACAACAAAAAACTTGATACAGCAAGCACAAAATAGAAGACTTTGGGGACAAACAGGGGAGTCCTATGTCCAGCAGTGGATTCAGAAAGGCTGATGATGATAATGACTTAAATAGTATCGAAATTTCACTGTAAAATTTGCTATATTAGTTTTGCTAAATTAATATATGTTTTACTCTTTACTTTACTTTACTTTACTTTACTTGATTATTTTACCAACTTGGATGTTATTGATAATAAAAATGGCTATAAAAAATTTGGCAAAACTTTAATATGGGTTTTATGTCTAGAAGATAAAAAGTAATATTTCTTAATTGGTAAGTACTTGATTTTCGATTCCTATGTAAATATTTATTTATTTTTGCAATTGTCAATAATGGAGAGACATTATTTAAATCGTAAAACGTAGTGGCATGCTAATTGGATGCTTTAAGCTCACAGAAGTCAAAAAGACGTTGCTGAGGTCCTCCACACGAACAGAAGTATCATTGCTCGTTTGAGGTTAAGGTGTCAAGAAACTGGTGATGCTTTGCGAGATCGTACTGTAACTGCATCACAATTACGAATAAAGCTGCAAGAGACCCACTCGTTATTTGTAATTGGTCAAATAATTATATAAAGACTGCATGAAGTAAGGTTAAATGCTTAAAGACCTGTGATAATGCCTGTATTATCCAGAGGAAATCACGCGTATCCACTTCGGTGAGCATAAGAACAGGCAAATTAGGTTAGACGGTAATGACGTGAATGACGTCTATTTTTTTACAGATAAGTTCTGATTTGGATTTGCACCAGAAAAGAGAATGACAAGAATTTGGAGACAATCAGGCAATTCTGAACGATTGCCTACCGCGCAGGAGGCTTATAGACGGCAAGGCGACAGTATGATGGTATGAGATGGCATCACTCTTGGAGGAAAAACCAATCTCGTTTGTTTGGTGTGGTTTCTAAATGCAACAGACTAGTGCGATATTATTCTCAAACTAATTGTTGTAGCTACAAAACTACAGTTTGTTGTAGGTACAAAACTAATTGTTGTAGCTTTGGGCACAACAAGCTGGTGTCCAATTTCAATTATTGCACGACAATACGCCCGCCTGCTGCCAGGGTCATGCGAGCATTTCTCGAAGTTAATGAAAATTGAGGTTTTACCATGGACCGCACAGTAACAGATTTAATCCCAATTGAGCATGTATGGGACATATTGAACAGATGCATTTTACAACAAAATATTTACGTTTAATACAAGACAGCAACTGTTTGAATGGAGTGGAACAGAATACCGAAGCAAGACATTGACCATCTGATCATGTGTTTACCTTACAGCTGTAGGACAGTAGTCAATAACCGAGGAGACCATACACTATACAAACCCAACCTAAACACTATTTTGGTGGAAGTTGAGGGGCAACAAATTAGTTTTTTATTATATTTTTTTTGGTACGATTTCTTAACTTATGGAGTTTCTTTTTAATTTCGTTAAGAGCTATTGCGATAATTTTAAGAAAGTATGTTTATTTTGTATTCGAAACAATTGTTTATAACTTTTTATTGACTTTGACAATATTTTTATTGACAATAAATTATTTGAAATCCTTCTGTAATCTCGCATTTTCTTTTTGTCTCCTAGGTTATTTTGATGTAAGTACTTTATAAGAGCCACATATATTGAAAAAAGAAATCTAGTGGAATTTAAAACGAACCGCAATTGATCTTCCATAATTTATTTTTATACTTACGTTTATTTTAATCTATTAATAACATTTCTATTGTCTAGCCTGGTATAATTCGACTATATGCTCTCGGCAAGTGGTTTCGAAATCAGTATAAGGACTTCCTCAGTGATGCATACAAACCTAGTGAAATTCTTGTTCGATCCACAGACACTGATCGAAGCATTATGTCAGCCAGTACTGTACTAGCAGGAATGTATCCACCGCATGGTGACCAAATATGGAACAACAATTTATTGTGGCAACCAATACCTGTCTACAGTGAAAATAAAGAGAAAGATGATATATTAGTAGAGAAGAGACCATGTAAGCTGCGAGACCAGTTATATAATCAGGTAAGTGGACATTTTATTAAATTAAAAAATAAGGGTAGGCTTACAGTAAACGGTTAACTTAAATGAGGAAAATACTATGTTTATATGGGACTAAGCCACAATAGATTTTAATAAAAATTACATTTACATATAATTATTATTTGACATCTTGATTTCCCTGCCGGAAGATATTAAAAAAAGATTATTTCAAAATAGTTAGTTGTTATTATAAACCATTGTTTTTTGGCAGATATTGTTTTCTAAATTAACTGGTGACTTACTTGTCTCGATCTTTTAGTCAAATCGAATAAAAAATCGAATTACTTAAAATTTGAACTGGCTATTGTTTTAGGCAAAATCAGAAAACTACCCTCTTCTAAAGGAAAGACACTCTGATATATTTAAACAAATAGCAAATTATTCAGGATACACTAATGTATCATTATACCAGGTAGAGGTGATAAATAACTTAAGGTACGTGTATACCAACTTCAACAAGTCATTCATACCTGACTGGATAAAGCGTCTCAATTTCACGGAATTGGATCATTTAGGAAGTAAGTTTTTTAAAACAATTATATACTTTTTCTATTTACAAATTCTCATCAGGCTGTAAGGCTACTGGCGAAAAAAGAAAATGTATTAACAATAATTGAATAGCGAAATAATTGAATTTTGTATAAATAGTCTATTGCTTTTAAATATTGTATAATCACTTTGGCACCACACTTTAAGAATATTTCTCTCAAATTCTCCGGGATTCCGAAATTACATATTTCCGCACTGTATAACGGGCGTTAGAAGCGTTTCCACTAGAAGGTGTTTTATTGTTAGCGGGGTCTCGCAAGCATAACACTCTGGTTGGGGATCCCTTGTCATCAGATGTCCATGCTTAAGACGACTATAATCAAGCTGCAGTCGTGTGATGATATCCTGAGAAAAATTATTGGTGGAATTATCAGACCATGGTTTTATATTGGTTTTATCCTAAGTAATTTTGTCTATTTTTTGTGCCATCTGTTATTCCATATGTTCGCTATTTTGCTGTGAAAATATGATTTGAGATCTATTGCTGAAGTTTTTGGATGGAACTCAATAGTTGTGTCTTCTCGGGCTCCTCGTGCATTTTATCCGCCAGCTCGTTTTCCGTGATTCCAATATGAGATAACACCCACAAGAAAGCAATGTTTCTGTGATTTGGGTTGTGCAATTCTTGTTTAATGAGTTTGGTCACAGGATGGGAAGAATAGATTTTTGAGATGATTTCTAGAGAACTTAGTGAGTCAGTAATTATTAAGAATAGTTTAAATAGTATTAGTCTCCGCTAGTCTATATTTCCTTATTTCATCCTCTGTTACAAAGGCAGATGCTACATAATGCCCCCTTTTAGATCTATCTGTGAATAACTGTTTGAAGGAAGAAAATTAAGAAATTAAGGTTTGATATTTAGAATTAATTAGATGACGATCACTTTCTTTTTTGATAATAGATCCAAATTTATGTGAGGAGAAGATATTAGCCAAGGAGGGAAAGTTGGCATCTTGCTACGATAGATTTCGAGGACTTTAAGGTTTAATTCATTTATGGTTCGTTTGCATCTTTTATAAAAAGGGAATGTGGGTTTTTGCGTGCTGGATATTCGAGCAGCGAATGGTTTGGTAAAATTGTAAAGAGTACCGCTTCGATGCATATGAGAGCATTAATTTCTGTCTTCTTAAATCTAATGGTAATTTACCGAGTTCGGACTGAAAACAGGGGTTGATAGGGTTAGATAGGGTTGTTCTTTATTATTCTAATAACGTTATTTTGAATGGTGCCTAAAACTTTTAGAGTTATTGTTGAAGCAGACGAATAAGCATGACATCCATAATCGATCTTAAAGCGGATCAAATTTTTATATAATATGAGTAGAGTTCTACCGTCCACTCCCCAGTTCATTCCATAAAGACATTTTAAGAGGTTTAGTTTTTTTGACATATAGCTGCTATATATTTAATGTGGTCCTTCCAGCTTGGAGCTTGATCAAATATTAAAACTAGATATTTAATTGTATTTACATATTCAAGTGTCTGAATCCCAAGTTTTTAAGTAGGTATTTCTGTTTTGGTCTCTTTGAGAATATGACGCAGCTACTTTTAGATGAAGCAAATTGAAAACCACTCCTTTTAGACCATGCTAGAAATTTATCGAGTTGATCTTGTAGTAATTTGATCATACTCTGTATATTGTTTCCATTTAACAATATTATAAGATCATTTGCGTACAATCTCGCTTGATTGGGTTTGTTCATTGATTTGATTATATCATTATTAACTATAATGAAAAGCGTGAGGCTGATTAAGGAGCCTTGGAGTTTACCATTTTTGTTAATGTCTCACATTAGATAGAAGACCGTTTACTTTTAATTTTTCTTTGAAATTTCTTTTTAGGAGAAAATTTTTAATAAAAGCAAGTATATTTCCTTGATAGCCTTACGATTCCAGCGTTGAAATTATTTTACGATGCTAAGCTATATCAAATGATTTGTGCGAATCAAAACAAATTGCAACACATTTTTGGTTCTTGTAGAATGCGTTATTATTATGTGATTCTACATCTACTAAATTGTCGGTAGTCGATCTTAAAGGACGAAGTCCAGATTGTTCATTAATCAGTTGGTTATTTTTTTCCAGACAGCACAATAAACGTTTATTTATAATTCTTTCCAAAAGCTTACACATTACACAAGTTAGAGACACTGAACGATAAGAATCTGCTTTGTTTTGTGGTTTATTAGATTTTAAGATGGGAATAGTTATAGGTGTTTTCCATAATTTGGCAAATTCATGTTTGGTTTATATACGATTATAAATTTTTAGTAATATTTCCACTGCTTTTTCAGGTAAATGTTTGAAAAAAGAAGCTGGGATCTCATCGGGGCCAGAAGATGTGTTCTTTACATGATCTAGCATCTCTCTCAGTTTGTTCTCTGGTGCATTTATAGGTTTATTATTGTTTACTACGTTAATAGGGATAGTTTATTTTTGTTTGTTGTATGTTAAAAAATCTTTATCATACTTAGGATTCATGGAGGTTAACTTAAATGTTTCCGCTATTTTTTCTCTGATTTCTGCATGCTTTGTAATTGACTATTTATATTCTATTTCTAATAAATCGATTCCTTAATATGAGCTAGTGAATGTTATATTCTTTAATTTTCTGCATATGTTTGTTAAAGATGTGTAATTATTGGTCGTCTCTACCGCGCCGTTTGTTCTTTTGAAGAGCTTTTCTTACTTTCCTAGCTTCTTTACATTCTTCATTTCACCAGGGAGTTAGTTTATTCCTTTTAATCAACTTTGTTTTACATATCGCTTCTAGAGCTGCTTACGTTATGAGTTTATTTAACTATATAATTATTTCGTCTATTGAATTTTCTAAGCAAATTTTTGATGATTCGCTACGGATAATTTCTTGAAAACTGCGCCAATCAGCTTTACCTAGCCTCCATTTTGGATCAAGTCTAACTGGCGTAGGTTTTATCGAGTATTTTTCTATTCAAATTGGGAAGTAATCACTTCCATATAAATCTTTTTTTACATACCGATTGTGATTTAATTGAAGAGTTGGCGTACAGAGTGAGATATCTATAGAAGAAAATGTCCCTGTCGATAAATTTAAGTGTGTGCTGCTACCATCATTTATTATTGTAAGGTGTGGGTTTGTGATCTTTTCAATCTTTTTTCCAGTGTGTGTGGTTTTAAAGGAATTCTGGTTTTCCATTTAGATCCCCCAAAATGAATTTCAGATTAGGAACCTCATTTATTAAGTTTAAAAGATCTTGTTCTTCTAGGTTATATATATTTAAATATTACATATGTTAATCTTTTGTGTAGTGCAAATTTCTACAGCTATAGCTTCGAGATTTGTGTTTAATGGAATTTCTTTGGATACTAATTGTTCATTTACATATATGGCGTGAACTCCACCTGATGCGTGATTTGCATTATCTCTGTTTATAAATATAAATTGAATTGATATAAATTGAATTGAATTGATATGAATTGAATAGATATAAATTGAAAGACTTTAGATTCATGCACGTGGAATTTTTAAAATTAGTTTTTTGGAGACAAATAATTTGTGGTGTGTATTGATTGATCAATAGAGTTGTAACATAGGTAAACGAGTTTGAAAGCTATTTATATTCCACTGTAAAATTTTATTATACATAAATTATTATATATATATATATATATATATATAATATATATATATATATATATATATATATATATATATATATATATATATATTATAATATTATATATATATATATATATATATATATTATATATTATATATATATATATATATATATATATATATATAAACAAAATATCGATTAAGCGAAAGAAAAATTCAGGGTTAACAAGTGTATGAATTATTTTCAGTATCCAAAATGCCTAAATCAAGAGCTACGGTGTCTAAAGTATAATCATTCGCAACCGTTAGTACATCAGACAGCCATAGCAATTTTCAAGTATTAAGACAAAAGGAAGGATAGTGTTTATCTATATATGTTTTAATATTGTCTGAAAACTTTATGTTTTGTTCCGTTTTTTTTTTCTGTTTTGCTCTCTTTTTCTGTTTTAAAGTTGGAACTGCAAATTGGACATCCTCAGAAGTAGGAGATGAAACAGTAGAAGCAGTACGTTTATGTGAAATAGTTTGTATTAGGGAAGGATCAGACTTTGTATTGGCAACCAAGGCCTTTTCGATTATCTCAGAAGTCATAGGGGTATTGATAGGCTGATTTTGGGTCGTAAATGACTTAGATATATATGGGAGTATAAGTTTTGATTTATTTGCGAGCTGTGTACGTTGGCAGATTGAGAGCTATTGGAAGCAGAAGTGGTAGTGGTTCCAGCAATAGGAGTTTATGAAGTTTGGGCAAGAGATATGCTACCTGATTGAGTATTGCTTACTTTAGGTATTATATTCAAAGTTATTGCAACAGAAACAGTACATTGTGAAGGATTATACACTGCTTGGTTGCATTTGAAACATTTATGGCGCCATTTATGGAACCTCTTTATACTGTGGTCACGCTTAAGCTTAAACGTATCAGAAAACCACAAAGAACTTCAAAATTAGATATTAGAAAACTGAAAGAAGATGATATTTAGATACTAATACTTACGAGATAAACAAACAATGGGAAACACTAAAAAACTGCCCCCTCGCTACATGCAAAGAGATATTAAAAGAACCGACACGAAATAAAGACAATTTAACGACCGACGAGATACTCGGCATGATGGAACAACGAAGACAAGCCAAGAACAAAGACAGTCACAATTACAAAATCATTAACAATGAAATCAGAAAAAAGATAAGAGGGACAAACTTACTATGAGGAAAAATGTAAAATGATAGAGGATCTTCAGAACAAATACGACCTATTCTACATACATAAAAAGGTTAAAGAAATGGCAGGGCTGCAAAAAAGGAACCACAACACAACTCTTCTAGATAAAAATGGAAATACTATGATAACGACTGACGAAAAACTAAA